AGCTACAGGAGTGGTGTCCTCTCGCTTCTTCTGTCCCAGGGCCTGCCCACTGCCCCCACACCATTGTCAGCTGGACCACAGGTGCGCTGTGTGGCCTGGAAGCTGGGGGACCAGAAGCAGTGCCCTCCAGGCTGACTCAGTTCAGGCGAGGAGCCCCCTTCACCCCAGAGGAGGGTGTGGATAAGGAACTTGTTGTATGAAAAGGAAAGAACAAAAGACCTGGACAAAGGTGTGTGTAAGCTGGATGTGCACTAGAGCATCCCAGGAAACAGTGAGGCCACCCACACAGTCCACAGCTCGTAACTGGTTAAAAGAATTACTGTCAGTGGCGCTAGTGGTAACAATCCTGTCTGCCAGTGCAGGAGACATAAGAGACGTGGGTTTGATCCCTGGGTTGGGAAGATCCCCTGGAGGAGGGCATGGCAACCCACTCCAGTATTCTTGCCTGGAGAATTCCATGGACAGAGGAGCCTGGGGGGCTACAGTCTATAGGGTCGCAAAGAGCTGTAACTTAGCACTCATAGCCGCAGGATGGAATATTATACTGTCAGCAGAAGCAGGTTTTCACAGCAAATTTAAGGCATTGGAAAATGCTCATGGTGTAACACTAAAAGAAGTGTGCAGAATGGGAACTTGTATGACAGGCAGCCCCCAATACATTTGACAACACATCAGGAGGGATTTTGCCAAAACACTGAGTGTGCTTGTTTCGGAATGATGGAATTGGGGTGTATTGTCCCGAAGATGAGAAGATGAACAACTGACATTTACAAGGCTGCTTCTAGGAGCTAACTCTCCTCCAAGGCTGGGCGAGCACCGTGAACAAACGCGACAAAGGTTATTTTAAAACTGAAAATTAAACACTGCAGCTGGTTTGTGTCCCCTCCTTGACTCAGCGCTGGGGCTCCATCAAGGTTTCGAGATGAACACAAAAAAGTGAATCAGCGACAAGTCCATAGTGAGTGAATGGTGGGTTGTCTGGGGTGTAGTGTGGCCAGCTGGCCGCTTCTAGCATCACAGACCCCGAGAGCTGGGACGGGGCCACCTGAGCTCTCCCCAGCCAGGCAGTCTTGCCTCCCGGTGAGGGTGGCGAGGTATGTGCCCAGGGCTCCGGGGTTCTCATGGGAAGGCCTTCCGCAGGGGAACGAGGTGTCTGGTAGAAAGTCAGACTTACAGGAAGCCTACAAGACACGCCTCACACTTTGGATCCACACTCAGCAAACACTAGGATTCTGCCCTGCCTGCTTGACCGTGTTCTCTCTCCTGCTGCACAGACAGGTGTTTCCTGAACCATGAAAGGCGCTTGCAACAGTGATGGCCGTCACCCCCTGAAGCCGATGGTGTGTCCATCCCCCTGCAAGGACGTTCCCTGCTGAGGACATGCGCAGCAACCCAGCGCTGGGCACGCAGGGCGTCCTCTGTTTACACACCGCATCGTGTGTTTACTCATGTCGGTGTAAACCCACCGACTTCTCCTTTCTTAATGGACTCAAGTCTGTTACTCCCACTGTTTAAACGCCTCACTTGTCCCCGGCAGCTGCCAAGAGCCCCCGGCCGAGGGCCTCTGTGCCCTGTCGCCGCGTCCTGATCATCCATGGGTCACGCGCCTCCTTTCTGGAGCGAGATTTCCCAGATTAGTTTCCATCTTTTCCTGCAGGTGTCTGGAAGCTGGGATCCAGGTGCTGGGCCTGTGAGTGGCCAGGGGGTCATGGCTGCCTGCACTCCCCTCAGTGCACTGATGTCCCCACACACCTCCGTGCACGCCCCCATCACAGTGTGCAAAGACAAACGCGTATGTGCAGTGGCCCCCTGGCAGTCCTGGTGCAGAGTGGAGTCACCAGGCCGCCCCAGGACGCTCGCTCCCTCGACCCTGCTGGCTCCCCATCCTCCCCAGGCACCAGCAAGAAGGGAACATGGGCAGGGGCCCGGCCGGCACCCTCCCGGCCCACTGGGAGCTCATGCGTTTCAAAGCAGAGCTCGGCTGCCAGCCCTGCCTCTGTCTCACTGGTTTCGTCCGGGGGTCAGGGTGGCTCCTGCAGACGTTTGCTGGGCAGACGCCATGACGGGACCAGGTGGATGCCTGTCACCAGCGGGACAGGCCTGCAGAGCCGGAGGACCAGGCTCTCGGCGGAAGCCCCTCCCCTGGGTGGGTGGTCCGAGGGAGGCTGGGTGGGACTGCGCCCCAGGTGGGGCTGCCAGCGGGCCAGCAGATGCCAAGTGTGGAGCCAGCCCTTCCTGGGGCACCAGCCAGGGCACAGGCCAGGTTGACGGCCAGCAGGACTTGCCTGGGGCTCACAGGGCTCACTGCCCGCCTCGCCCACATGCTCCAGTTCCCACCCAGGTTTGGCCCCCGGGGACTGGCGCCAGGGTGCCCCAGAGACCAGGATGGGGAAGACCCGTGTTCAGTAGTCAAGGGGTCACAGCTCCGTGGGTGAGCGGCCAGCAGGGGCTGGAAGAGCTTCTGGGGGGTGGGTGGGGGGCACACCAAGGGGGGGGTGTACCACCTCAGGCATCACCCCCAACAGCTCAGTCTTAGAGACACGGCCACAGACCTCACGTCCAACATCTCAGCCAGCGCACCCTGGTAGCAGACTGTGGGCCCTCCCAGGGTGCCCAGCACCTTCACGGATGCTACCCGCCTGGCACTCCCTCCCGGGGAAAGGAAAAGAATTGCTGCCTGAGGCGCCATTGGGTGCCTGATGCCAGACAAGATAAGATGTCCCTCTGCGGCCTTCGGGGGGCTGCACCTGGCGGCTTCTACAGGGGCGTGGGGCCTCCGGCCACCACCGGGCCCTCTGCCGGCACCTTGGCCCTCACGCCGCCCTGGTGGAGCCTGCCCCTCGGCCAGGCTGGCAGGCCACGGCACGGCCGCTTGTCCAGTTCCTGGCGAGGAGGGCTCCCCTCCGCGGGGGGGGGGTGCCACCGCCATGCCGCCCGGCAGTGCTGGCCTGGTCTGTGTTGAGAAGGGACTCTCGACAGTTCTCAGAGCCTGACAACTACTGCCTACAGCTGCTGTGGCAAGATGAGGGGGCTTTCTAGAAGGGGGCCACTCCGAACGCAGCAGCACTGGGTCCATTTCTCAGCAGAAAGCCAGGTCAGCTTTCTGGGCAGCGTCAGGGGCTGGGACCTGCCTTCACCCACCCATGCGTCCTCCCACTCCACAAACTGGCTCTTTACGGAGCACTGGCTGGGGATGAGGGGGCAGAGGCCAGGGGGCGGGGCCCAGCCCTGGAGGGCTCTCCCTCAGCCCCGTGCAGCACCTGGGCTGGGGGCTGGCTGCTGCCAAGCCAGACAAGGATCACAGCTGGGGGCTGGCCGGGAGAGGTCCTCTCGGAGGCAGCGGTCTGACCTACTTGCTTCAGAATAAACCCCTTCGTTTCCTGTCCCTTCCCTTCTCTGCCCTCAGTTCTAACCCTCTGCCCCACTCCCTGCTCAGTCACGGGGCGCGGGCAGTTATTTCAGGCAAGGTGTCCTCGAGAATCCGACTGTCTTCCCCGCTGAGCGGAGACATCATGAAGCGGGCTCTCTGTCCCCACGGCGGGTGTTGGGTCACGTCAGTTTTGGGAGAGAGCGCCTCTGGAGACACGTATTTTGTTATGTACCACAGTGCTGCTTTCTCGTGAAAGCAGGGGTCTTGCTAGCAGAGCTCTCCCCTTCAGAGCCCTTTCTCCCAGGTGTTTTGTCAGGGGTGGTGTTTTTGGTGAGGCAGTTAAGAGGGTCAACTGTTTTAATCATGTTTTCACCTGTGACTTGGAGCGAGACAGCTGAGCCTGGCCCGCGTGCTCAAGGAGCACTTGGACAGAATGCTCTGGAAAGACGGTGCCAGCGTGGGTTTTCCCACTTCTAGGGTGTACGGGCCTCCCTGGCTCCCAGAGACCCAGAGCGCAGCTCTGCCCGCCCACCCCGTACTTCCGGAAGTCAGCCCTGCCCCTCTGTCCAAGGCCGGGCCCAGAGGGACCGTTCAGAGGGTGGCCCGAGAGAGAATGGCTGTCCCCTCCCACCCGCAGCGTCGGAGCGCCAAGGCGGGGAGAGGAAGAGGGGATGTGGGCTGAGCTGGGGTCAAGAGGGGCGGTGCTGATGGGGGTGAGTGACGGGCCGGGGGGTGGGGGGGGGCTGATGATGGGGGTGAGTGACAGGGGGCTGGCTTGGTGGAGGGGGTGCTGGAAGGGGCGGGCGGGTGCCAGGGTGGGAGGTTACAGGACTTCAGCCCCGCCTAGCACTTTTCCAGCCAGGATTTGGGGGACAGTGGGGCGCCGGTGCATGGCCCCCTGAGAGAATGCTCGATGCAGCCGTGAGGCGCAACATTTCATTTCCTCGGTGGCCTAGGCCCCGCCCCCCTGAGCGGAGGTGCTGTTCTCGGCTCTAGCCGCCCCCACTCTCCTGCACTCCCTCTGGGCATCTGGTGTGAAGGTCCGGGCTTGAATGGTCCCCCAGGCCCAAGAGAGGGACCGGGGGCCCAAACAGGACCAGCCTGCCAGGTTCCCCACAGCGACCCTGAAAGTCCCGGCAGGCCCCAGCCTTGGGGCAGTGAGCCTCAGGTGCCAAGCGCGCGCGGGGCCCGTGTGGTCCTCAGAGGGGCTGGGACCTTGGCAGCCAAGCGAGGAGCTGAAAGGGGGGCGCGCCCCACTGGGAAATGCAGTCCGCGCCGGCCTGCTGCCCAGCGCTGTCGGTGAAGGACGCAGGACGGCCGACGGCCCACACTGCGCAGGGTCGGCCCGCGACCCAAGCCCCGGGAGGGCGGGCAGGGAAAGGGGCAGCGGTGGGGCCCAGGTGGCCGGCCGGAGCTCGCATCCCCGCCCCGCCCGCCGATCCCTCGGGCCGCTGTCCGGCCTTGGCCGCCGGAGGAGGAAGCGCTGTCCTCACTCCACCTCTGGCCGCCGCGGTGCCAAGTTGCTGGCGGCGGCGGGAGTCGGGGCGGCGGGAGTCGGGGCGGCGGGCGGCGGGCAGCGGCCGGGGCGCAGCGCCCTCCCTGGCGCCCCCCACGGGCTCGGGTTACTCACGTAGAGGCCGGAGTGCTCGGCGCCGAAGAACGGGAAGGGCACGGAGAGTGGCCGAAGCCCAGAGCCGCCGTCGTCCTGCTTGGGGGTGACCGCGTCGCCGCGCTCCGCGCCGAACGGGTAGAAGTCGGCTAGGGCCACCGCGCCGCGCGCCCCGCGCGCCCCGAGCCCCAGGGCCGCGGCCAAGAGCAGCGCCCAGGTGGCGCCGCGCGGCATCGCCGGGGGTCGGCGGGCGGGGACGGAGCGGGGACACACACAGCGGGGACGCGAGCCGGACACAGCGGGGACGGAGCGGGGACGCAGCGGGGACGGGGAGGGACGGAGTGGGGACCCAGCGAAGACACAGCGGGGACAGAGAGGCGACGAGGCGGGGACGCAGGGAGACGGAACGGGGCTTTGCGGTCAGCTCGGGCCGGAGCGAGGCCGCGGTGGGGAGTGACCCGCAGGGCCGGGCGGGCGTGCGTGCAGCGCGGTCGCGCCGTAGGTAGGTGGACTCCCGGGTCGCGCCCGCCCTGCCAAGCCGCGCTCGGGTCGCCTCTTTCGGAGGAAAGCGCCGGGCGGGACCGCGCTGGAGGCCGGACCCGCCCCTGTGGCCGCGATTTAAATATCCAGCCGGGCGGTCATTCGGGCCTGGGCGGGGCCGGGGCCGGGCCATGCAAATTAGGCGGCTCTTAAAGCGTCAGGCCGGGCAGCGGGCCCAGCCCTCGCCCAGCGCCCCCAGAGCGGCCCACCCCTTCCTCCTCCGTGGGTCCCCTGCCGCCCGCGTGGGGCCAGCCCAGAGGAAGCATCTTGTCCACAAAGTGGTCCTGGAACAGACCCTCAGGCCTGCACGAGTTACTGGGCCCAGGGGGCAGGTTTCCCCCCGGGTGGCCTTTTCAGGCCCCTGCCCCCCAGGAGACCTGGCCACGCTCCTGCCAGAGTGCAGGGGATCAGGGGCCGCCCTGACTGGCAGCGCCTGGATGGGCTCCTCCGGAGGCAGCCAGAGGCTGGCCTTACGCTCCACCCTGCGCCCCAGCCCTGAGGCTTGCCATCCGGTTTTATGAGCGGAGGACCTGGCCTGGGCGAATGCAGGGCATGAAGAGAAGTTTCCACCCTGCGTGGCCTCGTCAGGAGAATCCTGGTGAAGATGGTTTGGGGACCTAAGGAAACCTCACAGCAGGGGAGTCTGGGGCGAAACCTGGGGAGAGCAGCCCTCTTCCAGGGTGCTGGTCCATGATGGTCTGAGGGCACGACGCCGTGTGGGCAGGGGCAGGACCTGGAGGGCCCACAACTGCGATTCTGTCTCCAGTCTGCAGCCACCCCGCCCTCCTCCCGCCGCCAGGCCCACTGCCCTGAGCACCAGACCCTGAGTATTTGTTCCCACGGGACATCTGTGGCCCCAGTTCAGGGCCCAAGCACAGCGCCGCCCCCCTCCCTGCTCGCGGGCGCTGGTGTGGGCTGATGCGTGACCACGAGCCAAGCCCAGGGCCCCTGAAGACCAGGGTGCGCGGCTCAGAGATGAGCAGAGAGGAGCAGGGACAGCAGCTCTCACTGGCTGGGCCGTTTTACACTTGGCTTCGTGCTTCTCTGTATTTTCTCAAATGTCTTCAACAAGCATGCATTGCTTTGCAGTCAGAGCAAGACACACTAAATGTGACTTTTAAGAGCTAGTGGAGGGGGCCTGTGTGTGTGAGCGTATGACTGGGGGTCACAGGTTTACACATCACCCCTGTGATGTTTGTGCCCTCCAGGCTGGTATCAGGGCCAAGTGCGGAGTTTCAGGAGGCTCTCACTGTTGAGGCTGACCCCCTACTGGCACCACCCTGAGAGGGACCGTCCCTCCAGTTCCACTGTAGCCCCACCCTGCTCAGCTGTGTGAGGGCCGGCTCTGGGTCAGGCTCCTGCCTTGGAGACCCCCAGGGCAGCAGGACAACGGTGGCTCCAAGAAAGGAAGGATGAGAAAGGTCAAGGCTGCACATGTTTGTGGGAGAAATTCAGAGATGACATCTAACTGCAGGATCTGCCCTGGGAACAGATTCCCAATTTCACACGGCTCTCAGCGGGAGCCGGGGGTGGGGGAACACTCGTGTGTACACACACGCACACATATACCAGCACACACACACCCCAGCACACACACACATACACACACATATGCACCCCAGCACACACACACACCCCAGCACACACACATACACACACACCCCAGCACACACACACACATGCTGGCGCACACACACATACCATCAAACACACACATATACATACACATGCATACCCCAGCACACACACACACACACACACACATGCTTGCACACACACACATGTATGCCAGCACACACATCCACATCCACACACACACGTGCATGCATCCCAGCACACCCACACGCACACACGTACTGGCACACACACACATACACACACACACTTATACAGACACACACACACATGCACCCTGGCACACACACAGACACACAAGCACACACACATACACTGGTGCACACACATATACATACACACACACACCCTACACACCCCCCACACACATGTGCACACGCACCCACATACACACACCCCGGCACACATGGGCATTTCCATGAACCTCTCCCTGGCACTCCGTAGGCTCAAATGCAGCATGGGGAGGTGGGGGAAACCCAGAGCCCAGCAGCACAGAGGTCATGGCCAAGGTCACGGGAGGGGTGTGGCAGCCTCGCCCTCCTTGGACGGAAGGAAGGTCGCTCCTGAGTCTCACTGGCAAAAGCCGGGAGGGGGCAGGACACGGCTGCCACAGGGTCACTGGACGGCAGAGGGGCCAGAAGGCTGGTCCCCGTGGTGTGAGCCCAGGAGGACGTGGTTTTTCAATGTGGGCTTTCGGTGGGAACCGGGCAGCATCTGCCAGATGTGCAGTGGGTTCGGAGCCCAGCGGAAAGCCGGATCCTGTTTGTTTCCTCAGCGGGGAGGGCTGGTGGCCCCGCCCTGACAGCGAGATGGGGCAGAACTTCTCAGCCGGCACCAGCCACCAGCCGGGTTGGGGAACATCTAGGCTGACCTTTCACCCCTGCTGGACCTGCCCACCTCCTGCAGGGGCTGCATGGGGAGCCCCTCCCCCCACTGCACTTCCTGCTCTGGGTGGGAGGCTGGGGACCCTAGCAAAGGCTCACTTCGGGGCTAAGTTTTGGGTTCACCTGGGCGCCTATGGGGGGTGGGGCAGGGTGCACACAGTGGTGCTCAGCAGATGCTCCCAGGAAGGACTGTTTCTCCAGGGTCGGTGGGAGTGGCTGGCCCAGACGGGGTCTCCACCCACCTCCCAAGGCAGTCCTCTCTGCACTTTGTGAGACGCCCGGGCCTGGGCCCCCCTGGAGAGCTGGTGCACCCGGTCTGGGTGGGGCCAGCGGCAGGTAGACCCCCGCAAGGCTGTGCTTCCCAGGCACAGGCCTGCTGACCCTCCAGGGCCCTCGCTCTGGGCTGTGTGTAGTCCCTTTTGGGAGACTGGGAGTTAACAGGAGGCTCCACCACGCTGGGCATTACATTTCAAACACACACACACACACACACACACACACACACACTCCACAGGCAAAAAAGAGAAAAAAAAAAATCTCTTTTCCAGGTGCTAAAAATATTATCAGGAAATACTTTTTAGCAATGTGCTGTTTCAGGTTCCCCTCCGTACTCAAGGGTGCCTTTGTCTTTGCCACAGAAAGTCCACATTTATCAAAACCAAAATCGTTTTATCAAGCAGGCTCGTGTTTTGCGACTGGGAAACCTGAGCCTCCCCAACAGGCCTGTGACATTTTAATTTAGGGCCTGAGTGTGTGTGCAATTTAGATGGGGAGCCCCGAGCCGGACTCAGGACACCCCAGGACCCCATGCCGGCCAAGGTGGGGCGTGCTCCCCCCACCGGAACCTGGCCAGGCGGGCTGGTCCCTGAAGGGCGGGGGCAGGGGCCCCAGCAGGGCTGCTAGTGGCAGAAGCTGGCTGGCTGCATCCCCAGCTCTCTCTCTCCTCCCCAGAGCCATGGGGTTTCCACACAGGTGACACCCCAGCGAGACCCTTACCTGCCCCAGGAATGAGGTCAGGAGCTCGCAGAGCCTGGAGCGCAGGCAGGCCCCGCTGCTGGGGAGGCCCGCCGGGTGCGGTCACGCCACTGAAAGGCTGGCTGGGGCAGCTGGTGCACGGGGCACAGGTGGGGGCCTGGGTCCCGGGTGCACGGCCATCATGGGTGTGGTGACCATCAGACTTTCACACAGAAGCTACGCGCTCACCACTGGCAATGTTTAAGAAAAGTTTACTTCCATTAGAAGAATCCTTTTACCTAAACATACAACTTTATGTTGAACAAGTAAGAATAGTGTCTCCTACAACTTTATGTTGAACAAGTAAAAATAGTGTCTCCTCCACTGGTTGAACTTTCACTGAAATATAACATATCCTAGAGGGTCCCAGGCACATAAGGTCTCCCGGGAGCAGCCAGGCAAGGCGGGTCCAGGAATCACCAGAACGTCGGTCCAACCCTAGGTGGCTCGCAGCTCAGTGCTGAGAGATCTCCCCGACCCCTCAGGTCCGCTGAGCACCCCCTCTGCACAGGGGGCTGTGTGACACCGAGTGGCCAGGCCCGCAGAGAGGAGAGCGTCGACGCCGACCCCGACCCCAGTCTCTGGCTGCCAGCTCCTTCCTCTCCGCCCGCGGCCCCGGGGCCCCTTCTCCACAGGGAGTGGACTGCCGGGCCCCTGAGTCTCACGCGTGTCTCACGGCCTTCTCCTCCCGTCTGCACGATGCTCTCCAGCGGTCGCCCGCGCGGCAGTGTCTCTGGGTTGCTCTTTGTTCTCTAGCCGGCCGCTGCAGCGGGTGGCCGTCTGGGTGCGTCTACCACCACTGACGCCTCGTTTGCCTGGAGCATCGCTGCTAGTGGGTCACCACACCCTTCACTGCACTCGGGGAGTTGGTGATGGACAGGGAAGCCTGGCGTGCTGCAGTCCATGGGGTTGCAAAGAGTGGGACACGACTGAGTGACTGGACTAAACTGAACACTCTTCCCCTCTGAGCCTGGGCCGAACTTCAGAATCCTTCTCAACACAGCCACCAATAATCCGACAGACCTGACAGGTGGAATGGAGCGTGTTTGGGACCTCTCTCTAGACACTGCTTTTGCACAGTTTACAACATACGGCCACCCCATGACTAAGTTCCATCCGAGAGGAGGCTCTGGCGGGACAGCCTGTGGTACAGGCTGGGTCTGTGTTGCAGCAGACAGATGGCTGGTGTCACACGCTTGGGCCACAGCTCACATGATGAGGGTGGGGGGGCTCTGCCAGCTTCAGCCCTCTCACCCGCCAGGAGCCCGGACAGGGTGCGGCTGGCACCTGTGCTCGAGGAATGTCCTGGGCTGGCTGGCGCCCACAGATGTTGTCAACATGTCACTTACAAAACCAGAGGCTGTTTGGAGCGGAACTAGATCACCCTGACCCATGTTCATGGGAAAAGCGAAAAATGCTAACAGGTGAACCGGCCCAGCCTAAGATGGCTGCCTTGGTCTCCGTGGCAACCAGGGCTGGATTCCCGCAGGAATTTTCCCAGCGTTTATGGGCTGGGAAATCGGGTGGTTCTCTAACAACTCTAACTTTTACACCCCAATGCCTCTTACGGCCAGTGAGTCACGGGGACCGGACTCTGAGTCACTTCCAGCCACCTGCCACCGTGACGGCCCTGCAGTTCCTGGAGTCGGAGTCGGGCCGCCTCTGGGCGCGGGGAGGTGGTGGCTGGGCCTTGCAGGACATTATGTTTTTGGCGCCAGTTGGTGGAAATGTTCTCCACGTGTTTCCCTGTGTTTACAGAGCTGAGGGCACGGAATGCAGCCCGTGGTGCGGAAGTTGGCCTGCCGGGGCCTGGCCCGGTCAGCACACCCACCCGGTGCCAGGTCGGACGCGGGCCACAGGGAGGCCCCGTGCAGCTGGGGGGGGTGGGGGGCACATCATAGAGCAGGGCCCAGAGCTCGGTCCACACCCGCCAGAGAGAGCCTGGGGTCCTGAGGGCCGCGGGAGCTTGGCGGTCAAGGGTCAGAGGGCGCTGCTGACTCCAGGGCGTCCCTTGAGCTCGCGGCCCTGCTGAGCAGTGGTTCTGCTGCCTGCTGGTTGGGGCTGGAGCAGCCCGGCCACCTGGGCTTGGGAGCCGGCTTCACTTCTTGGCCCGGAAGGCCTGGCGGAGGCAGGCTCGCCGCCACCGCACATCCCGGTCCAGCGGCTCCCTCCGGCCGGCCACCTGGGGACAGGCAGGAGCTCAGGAGGGCGGGCGGGCCCCATGGCTGAGCACCGTGACCGGAAGGACTGGGAGGCCATGCTCCCCAACTCCCGGAGAGGGGTGTGCCTGCAGAGAGACTCCAGGCAGATGGGCAGACGCACCAGCAGCCCACGGGTGCTCGGTCCTACCTGCGATCAGGGCCACCACCACCACGTCCTCAGGACCGAGGTGACCGCCCACCCCAGCGGCTGGGGAACCGAATCCATGTGGCCTGGAGGGACACTGTCAGGGGGCACAGGCTTTACTATGTGCCCGGGTCCCTCAGTTTCCTGCTCTGGGAAATTGGAGTTTTGACCAGGTGGCTCCCTGGTGTCTGAGAGCTTGGAGCCCGTGGGGCAGCCCCAGTCAGCATGTGTGTGTGCGTGCGTGCGCATGCATGTGTATGTTTGCGTGCACGGGCACACACATGCATGAGTGTGTGTACATATGCATGCACATACATGTGTATGTGTGTCTCTGTGTGCATGCATGTGTGCATGTGTGTGCATGTGGGGGGGGGCAGAGTTACATGCTCAAGGCTCTGTCCTGCTTTGTGCCCACCCCGCCCCCTGCACACACTGCTGACCTGTCCCTGACTCTGGAGCTGCCACAGTGCACTGTGCCAGGTGCGTCTGGACACTTCACACCCAGCGACCTCTGACTCCGGGACTGTCCCCAGCCCTCCTGATAGGGGACGACGGTGGCATGGAGATGGCGGTGACCTGCCTCTGCCCCTCAGTGAGGGTGGGGTGACGGAAGGACAGAGTGGGGGCCCCGGGGTGGCCTGGAAGACCTCAGGTTGAGGCTGGGCGGGCACAGGCCCCCCTTCCCTGTGCACCCCTGCCAGCCCACCTGCCCCTCCAGCACCTTCGCCTGCCGCTGCTGGGCCCTCTCTCGGGACGCTGGGGCCTGTGCAGCCTGTGGTTGGGCCCTGTGCAGGCGCTCGGCCTCCAAAGCCTGGGGTCGCTGGTGCCAGATGGCCAGCTCCTGGAGCCGCTGGGTGTGCTCCAGCTCTGCCATCTGGACCTGGGGGAAACCCCAGGCGCCTCACTGCCCACCCCGGGCTGGGCTGCACAGAGGCCCAGGGCGTCCAGGTGGCCCTGCTGCCCTCTGTGGGGGTCCAGGTCCTCGCCTGGACCGGCAGGTGGGCTCGGGGTTTGTACACATGTTTGACCTATGGGCCTTGTCTGGGCTGGAATCCCGCCCACAGGCCTCCAAAGTGAGCCTTGCGTCTGCTTTAATGGTGTCCTCTCCACTTGGCTGGACTGTGGGTACCACAGGCATCATGAGCTGAGGCTTGCCCCTCCCCTACTTGCCAATGCCCTGTCTGGTGACAGGGGGGCTGTCAGTGGGGAAAGGGCAGGCACCCCCAATACACACGGAGTAACCCCCAGACCTGCCTGCAGGCCTACCTGACCTGTGTCTCCCACACTGCCCCCTGTTCTGGCCCATGCACTGGCTTACAGGTCCTTGACTGTCCCCCCAACTCCCGCAGGGCCCATGGAACCCTGAGACTGAGGGGTCTCCCTGGCGGAGCCGCTTGCTGTCTGGGGCTTGGTCTCCGCACTGTTCTGTACTGGAGAGGTCCAGCCTGTCTGTCCCATGTGTGAACTCACACACATGAGACAGACCCAGCTTCCGGGACCCACACCCACCTCGACACTCAGCCCCCGGGCCCACTGTGCCCATAGTCTGCCTGCCTGGGAACTGCCCTGGTTGGGCACAGCCCTTCCTGGCCCCCCCCACCCCGCCGCCACACCCCACAGAGAGGCACGCAAGAGCTGGGGTAGATGCTTGGCCATGAAGGAACGCGTGGTCTTTGGGGGAAGGTTGAGGGGCTCCTTTTGCCCCCGTGGGGCTGGTCCCTTTGGAGGAAGCAGCTGACACCTAGGGCGGACCTGGCCTGGCCATCGGCCATCAGGGCAGGATGGGAACCTAGGCCCCGAGCAGGACCCGCCTCCACTACTCAGGCTCTGGGCTGGGTGGGGCAGTGGTCAGGGGCCACCCAGCTGGTCCCTGCTTCTGAGCACCCCCGCCCCGCCCTCAGACTGGACGGGCCTGGCCTCTGGGGGCCCTGGGACGAGGCAGGCGGGTCTGCAGGCAGAGGGCCGGGGGCCACGGGGCAACAGGAAAGCGCCCCTTCTTCAGGACTGAGGGAAGCCAGAGGCCCCCTCCACTGCAAAAGGGGGTCCTGTTTCTTTAAAACCCAGTCACACTCCTGGATGCGCATGTTAAAAAGAGGAGAGAAAAGTGAAATCCAGAATAAATAAACGGCTGCATCCGGGTTTCCCCTCCTGAGACACCAGTAAAGGGTTTATGGGCTTCGGGCCCCTCACAGCTGACCTCCTGGAACTCATTAGCTGCTCCACCCCTCCCCCTGGGCTCCGGGGCTGCTGCCCGGGGCGGTGCCATCTGGGCCCCCGGCCCCCCCAGGCCGCCCACCCTGAGCGGCCACGGAGCCCTCGACTTCCCCAGCTCAGCACCGGCTCCTGCGGACCGGGCCCGGCTGGCCAGCCCTCTTCTGCGGGACGGCAGGTGGCCTTGTGTGGACAGGCGGCTGCTGGCTTTCAGGGACCGCCCTGGTCTGCTGGCCCCTGAGCCTCCGTCCCGGCCCCAATTCTGTCCCGAGGGTCCCCGCCTCCCACCGCCGCCCCACTGGCCCTTCCTCTGGGATGCCCTCCTGCCTGAGCCCCCCTCAGCTGGACAGTGTGCCCCGGGTGGCCGGGGAAGGCCCAGAGCATGTGTCCACGCGTGCCTGGGGACACACGAGCGGCGCAGATGTCCTCCTGGAGGCTCCGGGCCCAGCAGCACCCTGCCGGTGGGGCCTCCCTGTTCTCACTTGGGGCTCGAGGGCCAGTCTGCTCTGGAGCTCACCCTCCTGGTCAGCAGGGGGCACAGGCAGTCACCAGCCCCTGCAGGGACCCCCGCTGCCTCTGTTCTGCTCACGGACACCCTGTCCTGCCCTGCTGTGACGGCGGCTCTGCCTCTCCTCCCACCCTGAGCCAGCCCCTCTCACTCGTGTTCCCGTCCACACGGCCCACCCCATCTTTGTCCTTCCAAGTCTAAGAGCCCCCCTCTCACTTGTGTTCCCGTCCACACGGCCCCACCCCATCTTTGTCCTTCCAAGTCTAAGAGCCCCGGGCACGGTCAGCTTCTCACTCATCCCAGTGGCCGCGACTACGTGCTGATACGGCCAAGCCTGGCCTCTGTGTGCCTGGGTCCTTCTGCCCTTGGCCCAGGATACCCAGACAAGCCCCTCCACAGCGTGGAACCGGTCTGTGCAGGACCCCGCGGGGCAAGCGGCCCCTGACAAGCTCAGGAATCCACCGGGACCGTGGGGGCCCCCACAAAGTCCAGGGGTTGAGCCATGTAACACTGGACCCTATGCCCCCCTCTGAGAGGCCCTGGCTGGACACCATCACCTGGACCTTCATGAGGGACAAACCCTTCTCTGCCCAGGGCCAGCGCAGCGACAGGGGGCCAGCGGCTGCACCCGGTCATCGGTGCCCACACTTCCGGGCACCAGGGCGGCAGGACACACCCCTCCAGGGGGCTCGGGTTCCAGGGGTGGGCGATGTGCCAGGGCCACACAGCTGCAGGCAGCACCGGCGCTCCTGCCGCGGGAACCACGTGGGATGGGGGGGTGATTGCCATGACTGCGGAGCTTCTCCGCGGACAGCAAAGGTAGGGCTGGGGTTACACTGAGGAGGGGCGGGGAGGCCCACGGGGGACCGGCCAGCCCCCGGCTGGTGCTGAGCTTGGCGGCAGGCAGACAGGCCGGGGCAGGCGTAGCCCCCACTGGCAGGTTGAGAAAAGGAAGCCCATCCAAACCCCGTGCCTCCCCCGACCCAGCCCCTGCACTCCTCATTCCCTGTCTCCCCACCCCCACCTCTCCACAGACCGCCCTCCACCCTACTCCCCCCAATTTCCGGGGCCGCGCCCGGCGCGCCGCGAGCTCCCCCTGCAGGCGGGCCTCCCGGGGCGCAGCGCGGCCGCCCCTCCCTCAAGACGCGCCTCTACGCGCCGCGCACCGCGCGCTCCCTGCCGCCGCCGCCGGGACGAGCGCCTGGACTGAGCGCAGGCGGCGCGTGGACCAGGCGCTCCGGCCTGAGGCCGGGCCCCTGGCCCGGCTCATGATCCTCCCTGAGGCTGCATGTCCTCTGTCCACCCTCCGTCTTCGTCTGGGTGCCCGCAGTGGAGCAGCCAACCTCAGGCTCCTGACCCCCCGCGCGCCCCTCCCGCCTAGGTTTCCCCCGCTGTCTCCTGGGGGCTGGGTGCCTGATGCCAGCTCCCAGCACCGCCCTGATGTCCCATCACACCGAGGGAATAATTCCGAAGGAAGGCAGGACCGTGCCCCCTGCGGCCCCTCCTCTGCCGCAGGGGCTCCCGAGTACCCTCAGGCTTCGGGCCGCTGCGCTCCAGGCAGGTGAGCGGCTCCCCCAGAGCCCCCTGCTCGGGTGGGGAGAGTTCTAGAAGCAGGCCTTGCTGGCCTGGTGTGGGCAAAGGCACTTTCCCACTGTGGTCAGAATGGCCTCGGAAGACACGCCTGTCGTCCCTGCCCCGCTCCCAGTCCTTGGACTAAAGACCTGGATAGTCCTCGGAAGCTCGCAGGGCCTGTGGGGCTCGGCCCCATGCCAACCATGTGCGGCCCGTTTCCTCGGGGCTCGCCGCGTGCTCCCGGGACACTGGGGCTTCCTCCTCAGCTCGAGCCTGGTGCGGCCCACTGCGTTCCTAGCCTGACAGCTTGGCGCCGCGAGTCCCCCGCCCCCCACCCGGCTTGGAGCCCCGGTGAGAGGCGATGGTGCCCTGTGTCCGGGGCTGGAGATGGCGCAGTGGGCCCGGGCCTCTGGGAACGCATGCTGTCCTGTCGTGGGTGGCTGAGCGGGAAGGCCGAGGTGAGGGGCCGAGGGAGGCGAACCGGGCTCCCCGAGATTGTTCACAGGGAGCCCGCGGCGGCCCGGGCTGGGAGCGGGCGGCAAATG